CCGTCCGTCCGTCCGTCCGTCCGTCCGTCCGTCCGTCCGTCCGTCCGTCATGTGAAAATTCACTACTCTGGGTGGTTGTAGCAAACAACAGACAAAAAAAGCAAAAAGCAAACCAAACAAACCTTCCCATCCACCCAAATAAAAAGGCACAAACAACTAACAGACTCAGACAAAAGCCTAAATAACTGAATAAATCATATGTAATGGTGACATCCCTGTGGGATAGAACTAAAATGTGTGCAGATTTTCCTAGAGATAAGCAAGTGAGAGAGAAAGAGAGCTCTTTGCATTGCTATAGTTTTTAGGAAGTAGAATGGGATGTGTACTTAAGAATTTTTTTCTCATTGCTGTTAGGCAGCTGCAGATCTCAATCCAGCCAACCAAGATCCTGTGTGGCTGAAATTTGTGCTGTCATGAGAGATTTGAGGGGGTTAATTAGTCTTTCTAGCTCTTTACTGTCTTAGTGCTGTACTAGTGTCAGGTCATTTTTATGTCCACTCAAAGCATGCAGCAATTGTTGGTGGGATGTTTCCAAGACAGGGGAAACTACTGACTCTAGTTTTTTTTGGGGGTGGTGGTGGTGAATCCTCTTCAAGTTTTAGTCTTAACTTTTTGCATGAACTACCCAAGGAGCTGAACCTATGGGGTGATGGGGTTCAGGATGCGGGGTAGTTCCTGAAAGGTTCAAACTCTCCCTCCAGTTTTGTGAACCTGGAATCACCAGCATACCTGATCTAAGCAACGTCTGTAGTTGATTAGAATATATATACTTGTTAGTAAACTTGAGTTTCTGTACCTAATATCTAGACCATGATTGTTTTATCACCAATCCTCCTTCTTCTTTTCTACAGGATGCCAAGGGATGTGGGATAACATCACATGCTGGAAGCCTGCCTTTGTGGGTGAAGTTGTCTATGTTAAATGTCCAGCAATCTTCACAATGGTGAACTTGGATTATGGTAATACTTTGCTATCTAGTCCTTTACTGTATTAATGTTGCATTAGTGTCAAACGAAAAACCTGTTCACAATCAGATCTTGGATATAATTAACAACCTATACCTACATTTCTGTTCAATTAACATTTCATCCATCCATCCATCCATCCATCCATCCATCCATCCATCCATCCATCCATCCATCCATCCATCCATCCATCCATCCATCCATCCATCCATCCATCCATCCATTTTATATACACCTGCCTCCTAAAGGACCCAGATCAGCTTACATTTTCTTAAGTTAGAGAAAAGAGAGAGAAAGAGAGAGCTATTTGCACTGCTTTATTCATTAGGGAGACAGGGGACAGATTGTATTTGTCTTCAGTGTGGACAGGATGGTCCCTCTCGAATTGGCCTTCTCAGCCACACTAGATGCTGTTCCAAGTCCTCTATTCAGAGCATGTTACCATAGTCTCTTGAGACTGAAGGATGCCTAATCTGAATCTATTGTTTAAGAAGTCGGGTGCAGTGTGCACTCCAGAATCTTTTTCCTCTTTGCTGTTAGATAGCTGCAGATCTCATTAGGTTACAGCAGCATTAAAAATAGGACCCCAGCTACCCAAATTTTGTTCCTCTTTGAGGTGTTGGAGGAAAGATGAAAGGAAACTTGTGTGGGCTTTGCTTGCACACTGGAGGTAAAGCAGTAGGGGATGGCACTAAGTTTATTTTCCCCATTTATGTTCCCCCCCGCCACACACTATCTGGACAAATACAGATGAATACAAATAATCTAAAGTATTTTGGTACAAATTGAATCAGATGGGTTCGAAATCGAGTCTTGTCACTCATTCCTTTCTAGCAGAGCTTAGTATCATCTAGTTATTTTTTCTTAACTAATTAGGACTGTTTATTAACTTTCACCCAAACTAGGATCAAACTCTATTAACACGATAACATAAATTAATTAGGTCCCAGTTCGTTAAAATTTGCCCACAGCTTTAATTATTTTATTTTTGCCTATTTGTTTTGCTGGCTTCATAACCAGCGAGTGTGAGAAGAGAGCAGACCAAAGCTAGGAGTTGAAGGGGACCGAATTTTGCCATCAGTAAGAGCGGCCACCATCAACTTCCATCCAGAAAGTAAACACTCTGTGTAAAGAAAGATTGCCTAGAGAACGACTCGGCTAAAATTCTTCATCGGAGAGATGTCCTTTTTGAAATCTCGGGTGGTGTTTGAAGAAAGCTTCGGTGTATTCCTTGAGTCTCAGCCTGTGTTTGTTTAAACGAAGGCCAAGCTCAAGGGTGCAAGACGGGGTCAGAATTGATGCCCGTTTTTAGAGGAACGAGTCGTAAAAGCTGGAGGGAAACAGGGGGGGATAATTTCCGCCGTTGGCGAGGTGGGACTGATCCATCGATAGAGATCGCCAACATGTTGGTACACTTTCTTATCGGGGCCCTGCTCCTCCACCCGCCCTGATAACCAACATCGGGTTGGAGTCTCCATAGCAACGGTTGGGTTCTTTTAAAAATGATGAGTACATTCGCTACCCGTGAGGCCGACGGCTCCTGCAACATCAGTCAAAAAGCAGAGAGAGAGAGAGAGAGAGAGAGAAGCATTAAGGTGCATTAAGCTGCAATCCTTTTCTTCTCATAAAGGGAAGAAGAGGACTGAAAGTTTTGTGTGTCGCTGGGGTCTCGTGCTTTGTTAGAGCCGCTATGGATCCTCCTTGTCAAAAATCACTCCCCTGCTTAAGGTCTGGGACCATGTATGACCACCTCCCTTCATGCTATCTCTTTGATATTTCAGAAATTACATTTGCTCCCTCTAGGGGGTGCAATTATTCCTTTCAGTCCATTTCCCCCCCTACATGGCTTTAAATTCACAATGAGTTATTTTTTAAATGCCCCGTGCTTAAAATATGTGTGTGGGGAGTGCTGAACATGGAGTGTCTAGCCTAATCACAGCCCCAAAACGGTAGGATTGGCCATATGGCAGTGGTGTCAAACTGTGGCCCTCCAGATGTTCTTGGACTTCAAGTCCCAGATTTTTTAAATGCCCCGTGCTTAAAATATGTGTGTGGGGAGTGCTGAACATGGAGTGTCTAGCCTAATCACAGCCCCAAAATGGTAGGATTGGCCATATGGGGTTAAAAGAACTTTGTTCCTCATCTCTTTGACCCCAAATGCAGCTAATCCTAGCCTAATTACTTTTAGGGTATTATGCAGCTAGTTACTATTGGGCTAAATTGTAATCTATGCAACTAGTTACTTTTGGAATGATTAGTAATGCAAATAGTAGTTGCAAAGTTGCTTTTAAGTGCAACAAATAACATCTAAGGTACTTAGGTGAAATAAGTAGTCTTAGGTTAATTTCAATGTAGAATCAATGCAGAAAGGAAAGCTCAGTTTAGCGCATGGACACCCAAGGGCTCCCAAGCCACTTTGTTCCCCCACAGTTCTCCTCCGTGGGCAACGCTCCTGGGGTTTGTTTTTTTGTTTTACAGGTTAATAAACAGAGCTTGTCTCCGAGGGTCAGAAGGTTTCTTAAAAAGCGAATGAGATAACTAAAATAAGAAAATAGAAGTTGGAAGCCTTTTGATTATAGGAAAGGCAATTCTTTGTAATGCCGCCACCTGCAGGGCTTTATGCAGCATTGCAAGCGAACCGGGGGAGCCTCCTGTTTTTCTGTATGGCCACTTAAATTGGACAAACCCGAATTCTCCGGTGTGGCTTTACAATATGAGTACATTCCCATTTCCCTTGCTGCGTAGTTACACACAACGAGTCTGAGGACGATCCGCTGACTTGCTTCCCGGCTCTGAACTAGAATAACCAGGAGTACTCAGTCTCTCGGCAATTATCCACACCGGGAGTCTTGACTTTGATTGCCAGTGCAAAGAAGCGTAAATCCAATTAACTTTCCGGTAGTTTAATGCATCAGCCAAAATCAGGCCAATGAAGAAAGCCCGGAGGCATAATAAGGGGGAACAACGTCCCAGGACGACGTGGAAGTGTCAGCTGGTGGCAACTTTGCCCCTTAAGCAGATGGGAAATTAACATTTTCAAGTGAATGTATTCCACGCACTTATGCAAGGCATTTCAAACTTCCTTTAGGGAAGGCTCAATTCCGGTTTTTTCCCTCCCTTTTAGCCTTGGGAAAAGGAAGAAATCAGGATGTTCTTTTTTCTTTTTTAAAAAATGATAACGGAGAAGATTTAAGCCATCCCTCTTAAGATGCAGTGTTATATTCAGAATCGGTCCCCTGGCCACTTACACACAAGGAATGTTGCTTACACGGTGGTGACAAATCCTGTTGCTTAGCGTAGGAAATTGCACAAGAGTAAGCCCACTGGATCAATGGGGATTTGGTTCAAATAGGTCAGTTCCGCTGATTCAGACCTATTCGAACGGTGACTTCTTTTAGCATAATAACGTGTGCTAAATCCCCATTGATTCAGTGGGCCTTCCCTAATGTGGTTTGCCATGCTAAGTGGCAGGATTTTGCCTGATGTTGCATATTATGCATTGAGCATTGTTAGAGATTGATACAAAGCTGCATATGCATTTAATTGAGTGTGCCAGTTAAAGCCTAGTAGCCTATGATTCTTCCTGGAAAAGACCCTGATGTTGGGAAAATGTGAAAGCAAGAGGAGAAGGGGACGACAGAGGACGAGATGGATGGGCGGGGTCATCGAAGGGACCAACATGAATTTGACCCAACTCTGGGAAGCAGTGGAAGACAGGAGGGCCTGGCATGCTCTGGTCCATGGGGTCACAAAGAGTCGGACACGACTTAACAACTAAACAACAACAACAAGAATTTTTAAGGCAAATGAATAGAAAACCAAGAATCCATGAAACTCCTGGATAGCTCAGCAGTTGAACTCTTCATCTGTGGAGCCAGAGGTTGGGAGTTCGATTCCCCTTCGGTGCCCCCTTGACAGGGGCTAAATTCGATGATCAAGAGGGTCCCTTCCAGCTCTGCAGGTCTAAGGTTATTATTAGACACTTACAAAATGCAGAGGACTAGAATAATTCAGTCGCAGAATGAGAAGCTAGAAGTGAAGTTTGTTACAACTAATTATTCAAAGTGGAGGAGGAAAGTAGGATGAGAAGGATAACAATGACGTGGAGATTTAGACCCTAGATAAGATTTAGAACCGCACTGTGGGAACTTGAAAGACTGAGGAGGATGCCTTATAGAGGAAAAGAAAAGAAAAAGTTTTTAAAAAAAGACAAAAACGTGGTGGTCCCTTAAAGACTTACTTAAATATTTTTTTTCATATGAGCTTTCATGAACAAATCTGTTTCATCAGACATAAGAGAAGGAGATATAGCATGGCAAATTTATACATGGGATCAAAGTATAGATAGCGGAATACAGAAATTGTGGTTGGTTGATAAGGAAGTGAGTGTTATATGTTATGATGAATTGTGATGGTCGTGTCTTTGATGAGCAGTTCTCCAGCAGAAGCTTGTGCTGTAAAGAATGTGAGAGCCTCTGTCATAAATCAGCAATGGCAGAATAACAAAGGATAACAATGGTAGAGTAACAGGAGTGTTAATTAGATGGGCTGTTTACAGTCCTTGATGAACTTTTCCTGACATCCCCCAGGGAAAGAATCAAGAAGGAGAATCCAACTCATTCATTAGCCAAGTAACAGCTTGGCTCTCAAATTCAATTGTTAGGAGAGAAAAAAAAGCTAAAGCCAAATCTGAATTATTACAGGGGACTTAGTGACACACACAAACACACTGCTGATGGAGAGGAACATTAAACAGGGCAGTGTTGGGGGAAAATGGAGTAAGATCTGAATCGATTTCAAGTGGAGAACTGTGTGGTTTTAGGAAACCCAGGTACATTTTACAGGCCACCTTGATGTACGGATTAATCTCTTTTTATTTACTGCTCTCTGTTGTGCAACCGTGACACATCTGGATAAAAAAATCTAACGGTGCACAAGGACATCTAGTGACTAAATGAGGCACTGCCAGTGTTTGGGCCAGATTTGGGGGGGGG